TTGTGCTCACTTTGTCGCCCAGGCTGGTCTTGAACTCACAACAATCCTCCTGTGTCAGCTTCCCAAGTGCTGGGGTTACAGTCGTGTGCCACCACATCTGGCTTCTTTTTTCTTATCTATGAAATTTCTTGTACAGCATTGTATGTTTTCGAATTGAAATGTTTGTTTTTAGGGGTCAGCTCTGATAACAGGCACGGATGATCCTTTGCATCAATGTCCACTGCATATTAACATTTTTATAAAATACAAGCATCCTCCTGTGTATGACAATACTGAGATGTATTTATGCATGTTGCTACTCTTTAGACTTTGTTTTTGCTTGGAAGAGTCGCAGATGTATTTCCTGCGCCTGCTTTACCATTTCAGGACTCACCCAGGAGGGCCTTTTCCGGGTGGATGGCAGCGTGAAGGCTGTGGAGCAGCTGCAGCGCGCGTGGGAGAACGGCGCTTGCGTGGAGCTGGGCGCCGGAGACCTGCGTGCTGCCGCCACCCTGCTGAAACGCTTCCTGCGAGAGCTGCCTGGGGGCGTGGTCCCAGTGGCGCTGTGGCCACGCCTGCTCCAGCACTGTCAGGGTCAGTGCCATGGTGTAGAGTTTTGGGAGTCAGAGCAGGCTGTTTTCAACAAGGGCTATGTATTCCGATATTTAAAATGTAAATGTTAAAAGATTTCGAACATTTATGGTCTTTCCACAGTGATACATCGTGGTGTTTCGTGCCAAGTCCACTTTTCCTACCTAAAATAATACTGAACTGATAATGAAACACCATTTTTTAACAGAAATTTCTGGTACCATTGGCAAATGAATATTTGCGTTATGTAATTCCTGAAAGCCTCCGTGTGTGAGTCAAAGAAATTTTTTCTGCATGGTGACTTCCACAGGAGGAATAAGAACAAACCTCGATTCTATTTGCAAACTACTAACCTCTTAAATGGTAGCTGGTGTGTGTTCCCAGAGCCTGGAAGCTTACTCCTGTGCTTACTTTTTCTCATGGCAAGAGTGAGTCTTAAAATAATTGTGGTCCTTTCATGAGACAGTAAATGTTTTGGGTGTTTTTGTCACCAGAAATCAAACTCAGGACCTGGTACTTGCCAGACAGGCACTGTGTCACTGAGATTTTGATTTTAAATAAAAGGACTGGTTTTGTTTGTTTGTTTGTTTTTTGTTTTGTTTTGTTTTGTTTCTTCAGTACCAGGGATTGAACTCAGGACCCTACGCTTGCCAGGCAGGCACTTATTCTACTGAGCTATCTCCCCAGCCCTGGGACTGTTTTTTTAAGTGGTAACTATTACTTGCAAATTCTGCTTCTTAAAAGCAGTAAGAAAAATGATTTGCCCTTGTAAATCCATTTCTTATGGCTCTTTTTTTTCCTTGGTTTGGTTAATTTGTTCTGTTTTGTTTGAGACAGAGTTACCCAGTCTATCCTTGAGCTTAACATCTTCCTGCCTCAGCCTCCTGAACAGCTGGGATGAGAGCCATGGGCTACCATTCCTTGAACCTTCCTTATTTTCTCCAACTTATAGTCTAAAGTGTATTTCCCAGAATGTTACTAGCTAGACAGAAGAATATTACAGTTACATCCTTGATAACCGTGGTACCCCTATTCACATGAAATGTACTTAAAGAAACATATAGTAAGAAGCCCGGATAGGATGTGTAGGAAAGTACCAGAAATATTTTATCCCAAGAAAGATCATTTTCAAATACTGGATGCAGTGATTTGGATAAGTGTCCTTCAAAAGTCCCTTTGTAAATGCTGGGTCCCAGGGTGGCAATGTCAGGAGTGATGTGGACCTTTCAAAAGGAAAGCCTACAAAAGGCATTGTGAGTGTCCCTTCCAAGAGGACTAGGGAGAGTATCTTCCACTGCCTGACTTTCTCTCTCTCTCTCTCTCTCTCTCTCTCTCTCTCTCTGTCTCTGTCTGTCTCTCTCTCTCTCTCTCTCCCCCCATCTCTATGCTCCCCACCCCAAACCCCCACTTCCTGGCCTAGGATGTGAGTGCTCTCACTGGCACTCCATCTCTTCATGATGTACTGCCCTCACTAGAGGCCCAAATCAGTGGGAGTTGAACCTCCCAACTCTGAGTGAAAATGAAATTCCCCTTTCTTCCAAAGTAACCAGGGCTAGGTATTTCTTGCTGGTGGAAAACTGCCAGGTCCGTTGGTTAAAAGTGGCTGGAAAGATTCTTGACAAACTACACTAACCACCTCACCTAGTTATCCATACTGAGAGGTGCATCTCTCATTCTTGACATGGTTAAGAAATGTGTGGCATATTAGCCAAGTACACTTTTGGTGTGAGTGAGTGGGTCGTGGAGACATGACCATGGGTACTATATGTGGTCCCTGGGCACTTTCTCCCTGGCATTGTTGCCCTGCTGTGCTCTCTGGTCACCATGAACTGAGGAGCTTTTCTGTGCTCTGCCTGTTCTAGCCTTGAGCCTGAATGCATTGAACCCTCCAAAGCCATAACCCTAATAAACCTTTATGTTGTGGGAATCAAGTTTTTTGTCTAGTAGCACAAAAGCTGACTAATATGTTCCACAAGGCCCGAATGTCACTGGTACCTACTTACTTGGCCCATTTTCCATCCTCCTCAACTCTCAGCTCCCTTTAGTGACCTCCAGGCAGTCTGTCTTGTTCCTCTTTCTAGTTCCTGGTCCTCATGAAATGTTTGCTTATCTTTGCCAAGTCCTTGTAATAGAGTTTGGTTCAGTCTCACAACAGTCCTGACTGTGTGCCACCCAAGGGCACCCTACCCAGTTTCTTTGCACAACATTCTTTTAGGTAACTTAGACTCTTCAAACTTTCCAGACACCAGGATGTTCCGATGCCCCTTCACTTGGCTGGAGAAAGGTACAGGAAGCACTAACTCTAACAATTCTGCCTTTATATAAATCCTCGCTGTCTAATGTTTAACTTTGACTTCTAAGTTCCAGGTTTTTCTTCCAGTGTCCTTGAAGTAGATGATAGCTCAAGGTTCACCAGACCTGTTTTTGATCTCACCATAACAAATGTAGCTAGTTTCCTGATGTTCCTTCCTCTTCCTGTAAGGACACCTGCCCTACCAGAGTAGGGCACCACCCTAGGACGTCATTGCACCTCAACACCTCCATAGAAGCTCTAAATATGGTCACATTCTGGGTGCTGGAGGTCAAGCTGGGGTAGAGAGATTCAGCCCATAGCAGTGGCACAACAGGAATGCTATCAGAAGCCTGGCCACCTTTTTCATTATTATTTTGTTTGTAATCTTAGCCACTTCATTTTCAAAATGTGGCTAATTTTTAAAATAGTATCAATTTCTATTTTAGTTTTTTGAAAAGCCACCATACTGATTTTTTATTGTGCTTATATTTGTTTGCTTTATACCACTCCTGGGTGCATTCCCCCTAAAACCAAAAATAATATGCTATAGTGATACATCCCTACTCATGTTTATAGTGGCCCACTTCACATGTGGATAAAGGAAGAGAGAGCTATATATGCACATATGTATGCATAAAGAATGAAATAATCATCTGGGGAAAAGTGGACGGAACTGAAGGCCATCGTGTTAATAAAATAATCCAGACTCTGAAAGTTCAATATTGTGTTTTCTTTGTTATGTGAGAAACTTAATAAATGCAATGAAGGAAAGATGACAGGAAACTAGAAAGTAGATTTTTGGAGATAGGAAAGAGGATGGGAGGAGCAGTGGAAGGAGAGAGAAATATAGGGATTAATGAGGACTGAAAATGATCACAATTTGTTGGGTGAATGTCACATTTTCCGCAAGCAAACACAATTATCCTGAATTATTTTTTGAAAAAGCATGATATAATCAGAGACAAAATTATGACTCATTATGTTTTATTCTTTTGAAAATAGTAATAAGCAAAAATCGAGGAACAATTTGTTCTGGTTGTCTTACAGTACTTTAAAACTTTCTGTGTCAATAATTGAAATTTGGTAAATGACATATGCTTGATACTTGATAATTAGAGGTGAACTTTTTCTTATGCTTCAGGGGTATGAAATTTTAAACTCCAGTTTTGAATGCCATTTTAAGCTGGTTGCTACAAAAGCGAATTGAAGACTTAAGTAATGTATGCCTAATACAAATTATTTAGCAATCAAACATTATTGGTATTTGAATATCCTTCTGTAGTATCACTTATTATAGATACTCAGAGGTTTTTTTGTTTTTATTTTTATTTTGCAGAACCAGGGATTGAACTCAAGCCCTTGTGCTTGCCAGGCAAGCACTTATTCTACTGAGCTATCTCCCCAGCCCCTGTATATACTCAAAAGTCTTGAATTTCAAGAGCTTTTATACATTTCCTAGAATAGTCTTCATCTGATAGAAATGCACTCCTTTCTTATTTTATTACTATGATTTAAATTATAGTAGTATTTTTGCTATAATCTAGATCATCTCTGTAAGTTTTCTTATTTGTGATATGGCTCCCAGGTATCCAATAACTTGCTATACATCGTGCTTCTGTTTGTTAACAATTTGGATCACAACCAAAAGCATTTGGCAGAATTTTACCATAGCCATGGCCATCTTCCCCACACAACACAAACCCACCATCTTTGCCAGAATCATAAAACAAATTAAGTTCATAAGCTGAGGTAGCACTGTATAGGTGACTGAGAAGTTTCTCCCTTCAGATGGTTGGGTGATGAAGTCTATGAAATAAACTAACAGAGAGATTAATAAGTAAAAAATCACTTTAATTATGAGCATATGCACAGAAATTTCACAAAATACAAGGCTCAAAGAAGGGCCAGATGATGGAAGTTTTTATAGCATCCTGACCTACAGACAGGAGCAGAGGCTCATCGCTGCTCCTGGGCTTGAGGCAACAGTTCCAGGGGTGAGAGAAGAGGAAGTGTGTGGTGAATAAAGACTTTCTTGTTCTGCAGATTTGAAGCCTCTCAGGTAACACAAGCTCTGTGGAGGCAGAACAGGATCCCCCGCCAGTCCACTCTCAAGTGAGGCTGTGTCCTCCGTCAGAGGAGGAGACTTCCGACTTAGCAGCTGTACCTCCCCTCTGTGTCCCTGACCCTCCAGTCTCATAGTTTGCATATTAGGCAACCAGAGCTGTATATTTTTAATGACAGTTTCTGAATCTGTCATCAGCATCATCACGCTGAAATCAAGACTGTTTCTATAAGCAGCCTTTATGGTATGTGAAATTACACATGAATAGCAAAGTCTGAATAAGACAGGGAGAGTAACTCTTTGCATTATTAGTATTATTCTCTCATTCCCTGAAAATCTTGGAGTTAGATCTGAGAGTCAGTAAAGAAAGTATTAATTTAATACTTGCTAGTTATATAATCTGCTAAGTAGAGGAAATAAAGCATGCTTTAGTGCCAGACAGGATAGCTCCTATGAAATAAATTCCCCTCTGTGATAACTCAGGTAGAAACATAAAGAGTTATTGTCCTGTCACTGGTATATCCTGTCTGAGGTGCTCACAAAATAGCAAGTACACATTGCAGCTGGTCACTCATAAAGATGGGTGTGGTAAGACTCTTCACAGTCACTAAATGCCTGTGTATGTTGTGTGTTGGTGGGGAGTGCTTC